CATCAGGTCTTTGCTTGCTCAGATAAAGAGCTAACAAAGACTAATGCCACTGCCCTGTCCCATAGCAGCATATTCTGTATCAAGTATTTATCTGAATATGCAATGGTCTCTACAGTGAAGCCTCTCTGCTTCCAGCAAAAGCTCCATCATCTGAAAGCTCAATTTCTCTATTGAAGTTCCCAATCTAGGCATCAGCTTGGAAAAATCTACCCATTTGCTTTGAAAGATCCTCATACAAGATGAAGATAAATCTTCCTGAAGAAATTTACAACATTCCCTTTGCATCTATTTCAGACATCTCACACTGAAATATTTAGAGATGTCAAATCTTCATCTCTCAGACTATCACCATCAACAAAGCAATTTTTGATGGAAACTGGAGAGCATAGAAACAAAGTGATAGATCCTTGATGCCAGAAATTAAAGAAATGGTGCTTTCTGCAAGATTTCTCATGGAAATGTATAAGATTACACCTTTGTGATTCAAGTGGCTTTCAGTTGGGCTTTAGTTTTAAATTATCCTTTTCCACTAAATTAAACCAATTACCAGTTTTACAGATGGGATAAAACCTTCTTCACTTTGGCCTATTCTGGCTGTCACAAAGAAATTTATACAGGATTAGATCTAGCTCATCACCTCTAATTTTTTTCTACTAGGTCTTAAGCTGTATTGAGAAGCAATGCTCTTATTCCAAAGGAGCCAGGGATCCAATAACAGTTGAAATGGAGGGTAACTGTTGCCCGATATGGAGACAGAGGGGTCCAGGAAGGGGAGAGAGGTGTTAGAGATGGTCCAGGTAAACTAAAGGTTGGGGTGGAAGGTGTTAGTGAAATGGGTGAACTGTTCGAGCTCCTCGTGGGAGCACAAGGCGGCGCCGATACAGTCATCAATGTAACGGAGGAAGAGGTGGGGTTTAGGGCCGGTGTAGGTACGGAAGAGGGATTGTTCCACGTAACCTACAAAGGGGCAGGCGTAGCTTGGGCCCATGCGGGTACCCATGGCTACCCCCTTTGTCTGTAGGAAGTGGGAGGAATTGAAAGAGAAGTTGTTGAGTGTGAGGACGAGTTCGGCTAAGCGGATGAGGGTATCAGTGGAGGGGGACTGGTCGGGCCTGCGGGACAGGAAGAAGCAGAGGGCCTTAAGGCCATCTGCATGGGGAATGCAGGTGTAGGGGGACTGGACGTCCATGGTAAAGATGAGGTGTTGGGGACCGGGGAATTGGAAGTTCTGGAGGAGGTGGAGGGCATGGGTGGTGTCACGGACATAGGTAGGGAGTTCCTGGACCAAGGGGGCCTGGCCTTTAAGTCAAACAGTTGAAATGGTCTGAATTACTGGAGTTCTTCTCTGGTAATTCAAACTAGTTTTTCCAAACCAATTCTGTTTGAACATACATCCCAAACAAACAAACCGAGTGAATTAGGCGCATTCTCGAAAGTGACAGCATGAATACAGACCGTTCGGCCCAACAAGTCCATGCTGCCCAGTTTTCACAATTAAACTAGTTCCATTTGCCTGCGCCTGGGACATATCCCGCCATACCTACCATATCCATGTACTTGACTAACTGTTTCTTCAGTGACAAAATTGTACTCGCTTCCACCACTACCTCTGGCAGTCTGTTCCAGACAGTCACCACCCTCTGAAAAAATTACCCCTCTCTACCCTTCTGTATCTCTCCCTTCTCACCTTAAACCTATGCCCTTTAGTTTTAGACTCTCCTACCATGGGGAAAGCTGTTGGCTATCTACCTTACCAATGCCTCATATGATTTTATAAACATCTATGGCACCCTCACAGTCACCTACGCATCAGGGAAAAAAAGCGAAAGCCAATCAAGCTTCTCCTTCTAACACAAGCCTTCCAGTCCAGGTAGCATCCTAGTAAACTAGAAAGAGTGAAGAAAATATTGAATAATATCCTTTCTACAGTAGGGCGAGCAGAATTGCATGCAGTGTGCCAAACGTGGCTTTACAAACATCTTGTACAGCTGCAACAAGACATCCCAACTCCAGTACTCAATGCTCTGACCGATGAAAGCAAGCATACCAAAAGCCTCCTTCGCCACCTGTCTAACTCAAACTCCCCTTTCATGGGGCTATGAACCTGCACCCCTAGATCTTTGTTCTATAACACTCCCCAGGCCCTACCATTGACTATGCAAGTCCTACCCTGGTTTAACCTACCAAAATGCAACACCTTGCATTTATCTAAATTAGACTCCATCTGCCATTCCTCAACCCACTAGCCCAGTTGATCAAGATCTCTGTATTCCCAGATTACATAAGAATGTAACACCAACCTTGGTGTCACCTGCAAACTTACTAACTATGCCTCCTAAATTCTCATCCAAATCATTTATATAAATGACAAACAACAGTGGACTTGGCACTGATCCCTGTATGGCACACTGCTGGTAACAGGTCTCCAGTTTGAAAAAACAACCCTCTACCACTACCGTGAAACTGCGGAGACCCTTCTGAGGAAGGGTCACCGGACCAGAGACTTTAACTGATTTTTTTCTTCACAGATGCTGCCAGACCTGCTGAGCTTTTCCAGCAACTTTGTTTTTGTTGCCTCTACCACTATCCTCTGTCTTCTACCGTGATGCCAATTGTGTCCAATTGGCCATCTCTCCCTGGATCCCATGTGACTTAACCTGACTAAACAATCCAAAGCAGTGCCTTGTCAAAGACCTTGTCCTAAGGCAACGTCTACCGCACTGCCCATATCTACTTTATTGGTCACGCCTTCAAAAAACTCAAATTCGAGACATAATTTCCCACGCACAAAGCCATTCTGACTATCCCAATTGAGTTCTTACCTCCCTAAATGTCTGAATATTAAAGTGTTATTTGCTGTTGCCCAGTTCCCCTAGACTTTTCTAATTTGTAATTTAGAGAATGGAGACTCCAACTTGATAAAAACTTTACAAATTGTGCATAATGTAAATCAGTTCAGGGATATAAGAAAAGTACATCTTTAACATGGAAAAGGCTGCCTCATTTGAGGTATTTCTCAGTTCAGATTTAATTAAACTTGATGTTCACCTAAACTAATCCACTAGAACTTCCTGTATTCTACTATGATGACATATCACAAATCAACTCTTGCTTTGCAATGTCTTTCATCGTTAATATTCCTAAAATATATTCAGCAGCAAGCAAATCATACCATCTCTCAAACATAAAACTTGGATGAAATGAATAGTCTCAGACCATAATATCTCACATGGAATCAAATTTAGCTTAATAATTTAATGGATTTGGATACATGGTCACTGGCAGCTATAAACATGTTTGTTTCAATATTATTGGTTTGAATGGCACAAATAAAAAGGCGTGCAAGTTGAAGTTTCTAATAGCTTTAAATCTGTTTGCTATTCTAATAATGGTGTAATTGTGTTATGGAAAGCACCACCCTATAAACACTTACGATTCCTTATGATTAACAGAAAAGCCCAGCACCAAGGCACAGAAAACTGAAGGTGCCAAATTCAATTCAGTTCATGTTGAACAAAACAAAAAAGATTTTTTAAAATCAACCTGTTAGGAAACATTTCGGAGCAGATAGGGCCTCCTGGCTCAGACATAGGGATATTACCACTGCACACAAGAGCTCCTCACTAGCAAATAAGGTTACAGCTAAACAAACTGATCACAGTTGGAAATGGCAAAATCCTTAGTTCCTGCTCAGGTCTGCAACCAGAGTGCATGTCAATGGGATAAAAGTCAAAACCAACTGCAGGGGCAATCACCTTTTAGTCAAATAGCTCAGCACATACTTTTTGATTACAAGAATAACTACCACTTGAAAGGTGCATCTGAAATACTTCCCCAAAACATCATTCTGATGTTCTTTCATACCTCTAACTGGCTATAGTCTAATACCTTACCATATTAATCAGGTGAACACTCGCACTGCACACCTGCTTTGGCAACACATTAAAAATGCTTTGTACTTTTTCTTAAAAGCACAGAATGTGCTTTTGCTGGCAACACCAGTACGTGTTGCCCATTGTAAACTACACTTGACCCATCTAGAGAGAGAGACTTAAGGGTATTTCAGAGTGCAGCTATGAGTCAATCACATTGCTGTGGGTCTGA